CATTAGGTGACATATTGGTTCACATCTCTCATAGGAACTGAGATGAATGGGCTCAAAGTTGAAAGTCAGGGGGCACTTCTATTACAGGTTTTACGGTATATCCACAAAATGAAAACTAGATGCCCTGTAACAAGATAGTGAGAAAAAAATAAATTATGCCTCAAGTTGTACACTTCGAAAATATTGACAATCATTGCTATGGCAATGGCTCCGATTACAGGATGAGCGACTCTTTAGTCAGATTCGGTCTTTGGCGGCGTGCCTGTGGAGTCCTTTTCAGAAGGAGCGTCAGAAGGAACGGATTCAGGAGCTGGTGAAGCATCATTTCTTGAAAGTGGTCCTCCGGAAGTTTCTACCGATGCTATAGCTGGCGAGTCGGCTGGGTTCCGAGGCAACGATGACGAAGATAGCCAGGAGCAGGAGAATAAAGTTAAGCGCAGTCGAACGGCGATTTAAACCTCACAGAATGATCGATCCGAAGGACTGTCAATGACCTCGACCATCCCTTTTCTTTTTTCAGGAATTTTGGTTGAGTAGAACTAATCGCCACTGAAGCTGTAATGCATGTAAGTTATAGAAACAAGACAGAGAATGTACATTTCATTACAGCGAAATAAATGTAACATCTGAAAAACTTTCATAATTTCATTTTCAGTCCAATGCGGACGAGAAATGATGTCTCTACCATGAAAAAGCATTTCAAAATGGGAATATTGTCATGGACACATAGTATGCTTTTTTGACGATTTCCGATTTTATTACTGTATTTTTTCAGTGTTGAAGGCGGGAAGTTGCTTGTCAGGAACGCTGAGGTCGATAAGACAGAACATGAACTGGTTGAAGGTTGAGTTCCATTCATAAGTAGCGAATGACGGCCAGAAATGTGGAGGACCGAACCGTCGAAAGAATAGCGACACGGAACAATGGCAAATGACGGCTCATACCGTCGAACGCGCTGAAGATTGACAATGTCGGTGATGTGATTGCAATTTCATACAAATCTGATGTTACGGAAAGTACTAGATGCCGTCGATATAAAAGAGTACCAAAGCTAACAGATTGGAAAAAAGCACATATCGTGTTTGGTAAACGGAGTAGTGGTTCCTGAAAAATGATTTCTTCTGGAATCCTCTCTGTTTGCTTGACACGTGGTATTCTTCCTGACGTGAATGTGTGTCACTCTTGGTTATTTCTATTATTTCCTCATTTAGTACGTAAGTTTTAATTCTTTGTCATTGTTTTTGCGTTTTAATTGAGAGAAAAAAAGTTATTTTTGAATAAAACTACTTTTTAGCTCCGGGTCACCACTAAGCAATTAGTATGATGCACTCTGACGTGTAGTCTCGGATAAGAATATTCATCATCCTGACTTCTCCATTTATTGGATGATATGAAAGTGCATATTACGCCTGGTTAGCAAACGTACAGACAGTCTAATTGTGGACACACATATTGAAAACCAACAGATCAAGCTGGGAAGAAATCGAAAACAAAGCTCATCGGGACCTCTGGGAGATTCATCTACACTGTCAGAAAAAAGGTTTCTTTTTCCTCATTTAGTGTCTTTCTCATTCATTCATGCGTTTTCTCAGCGACCTGCAGATCTTAAATTTATCTCTATGCTACGAAATTCCAATTTGGGCACTTTATTTCATCAGTGTGGCCGTGATCTTTCTTAAATGGAGTACCGTGAAATCCTCGTTTCTCCAATTCTACATATTTGAGTTTCTCACGAGTATTCTAACATTCTACAATACCTATATATCTCTTCGATTACCAAACATCGCCGGGACCGATGATTCTCTATCAAGACGTTATGCTAGTAAAAACGAGACCGACTTCTTTCATCAATTACAATTCGCTCTGCAATATCACATGGCCTACGTACAATATGCAACTACAATGGTAGTGGCACTGAACAGAATGGCGATATTGCAAAATGCGGAATATTTTGAGAAGGTAGTTTTGGAGTGCTTCCATATTTCCACTCTCTCTATACAGAAGTGGTCGATAAGATATACAAAGACGTATTTTTAGAATGATTTTGACCATTCTCAAGAGTCTGGCTCGGTTATCAATTTTCCAATCACTTTGAAAGTTTTGGAGGGTGTAAAATAGGCCACGGTTGAAAATTTTGCATTTACAGAATTTTTTTTTAAAGTTCCTAGTTTTTCAGCTATTTGCCAATTTTTGAAGTACACTTTTAAACACATTTTCAGTACAAAAACAGGCCAAACAAGTGTATTTCAGAAATCGGCAACTAGCTGAAAAACTAGCAGTTTTTGAAAAATTCTATAAATTCAAGATTTCAATCTACCGGATTTTCTCTATTAAAATCCCACCCTGGCTGTGCAGTTAGTCTTCTCGATTATTACAGAAATGTTCTTTTTTGTTAATTTTTGTCGTTTTTTCAAATGTTCCTGCTCAGTCAAGAACCGAAAACTCCCTTATTAAAGTTATCTTTCTATTAGAAATCCAACCTGAGATGGAGGTTGAAAAATAGAAGCCTCAATCAGAAAAAATACAGTATGTTTGTTATACACCCTACAAAACTTTCAAAATGATTGGAAACTTGACAGCCGAGCTTCAGTCTCCTGGTCTAAATCAACTGAAAACTCGTTTTTGTATGCCTTATTGACCGATACTGTATATTACTCTGAACTCGATTTTTTTTATTTCAGAAAAATCGACGGTACGGCTGGATTATAATGTGCGTTATCATGCTATGCCCAATTGCTGCAACTTATGAAGTTTTCTTACACGATGCATACTACAAGTACATTCCCTCCACCAATAACTACTATGTGTACAGTGGATGCGTAAGATTTTATCCCGTCGAAACTTTGAAGAATCTTATTTTTTCAGTCAAGTCCCGATCTTTTGAAACAATTATTCTATTTCATGTGCGTCTGCTTGAGTCTCACCACGGTTTCTAATTGTTTTGTTTTTGCAAAACTATGCTTTTTTCCATTAACACCACGAAACTTAGGTAAGATTATCATACAAACTAACAAAATGTACATAATTATTTTACAGAGACAGAATTCTTTTTCGTCTCCTTCATGTCAAGTAATACGCTCACCATTGGAACTGTATTGACATATGGAATGCGTAGTGCTACGCCAGGCACTCTTCTGTTTGAAGTCAACAAAATACTTCTCCCTGTTGTTAGTGACGTCTTATCCCTCAACCAGCCGTTTTATCTGATTTTTTACCATAAACCAGTGAGTAGTAAATTATCAACTTAAGTGCTCGGAATGTAGACAGAAGTCAAAATTCAGATGAATTACTCATTAGATGACATGAGCTTTGGACAACGAGAAAGACATCAACTTTGTATTATATTTGGAAACATTTTTCGTATTTAGGTATTTGGGGATTAAGAAGTGCTAAATCTTACTAGTGCACTCTAGTCCATTTTGCGATTTAGTGAAAAAACAGTTATCTGAAAATCCGGGACAGTTCGCCACTCCGCGATACAACAATTTGTTCAAATAAATCTACTGTATCAATTTAATTATGTACTAATAATTCCAGGCGCGGAAACTGTTTTTCGACATCATCCACGAAGTATTCCGTTGTCTTTGTTGTCGGAAACCACGAGGAATCAGACCTGTTGATGTTACGATTCTCTGAGCGTCTCCTACTCTCCTAAACTACTTTTCAATCACAAAATCCAGTGTTTTTGTGTCCTATACCCGTCACTGGCCCTCCAAGGACCGTCTACTCATTCTTTCTGCATAATGAGATCCACCCACGGTTTTGAAACTCCGCCCTCAACTTTGATTTCTTTGGTTTTTTTTAATTATTCACTTCCTCTTTCACATCGTTTGAATTTGATCGTCTTGTCCCGTCCTTACTCATTCAATACCTCCCACTGTATTATCGTATGTTCACTTCATAATAAATTTCACATAACTTGAACGATCATTCTCTTTTAGAGACCGTGAGGTACATCTTTTCTTGAATCGTTTGAAAATGTTTTTGCTCATGTTTTTTGGAATTTTCCGGAATGATCAATGACTGATAGAAGTGGAGTAGGGGAAGGAAACACTTTCACTAAAAAAAATTAAAAAATAGAAAACTTAAAAGGGCACTAATTATCATCAGATTATGAGTACGTGTTAGTAAAGTCTCGTGGATCTAGGGAAAAAATTACTAGACTGATGTAACTATTCTAATATTTTTATCTCGCACGGAACCATAACGACATCTTTCGATTCTAAACTTGGAAAATCTAGAATCAGCTCCTAAATTACTGAAATAGACTTTACTGTAAGGATGATATTTGCCGCAGTTAGATAGCGTCTGGTTAGAGTTTCGTCAAATCTGAGCAAGATCCTAAGGCCCTAATTTATTCCAAATGATGCGAAAGTGTTAGTCCCGTGGTCATCATACAAGTCTTTTTTTTTGGGTGACTTACTGTCTCAGTCACGTCAGAAGATATGTAATTCATTCTATTTTCAAAATTCTCTGACGTCTTTCAGAATTTTGATAAGATCAGACAGACCAGTGATCGGAAGAAGTCGGGACAATTTTAGTCATCCGCTATTTCAAAATACTCTGCACTCTACTGATGCCTACTCATAACTTGATGATAATTAGTGCCCCTCCGGAATTTCTAGCCTCGTGTCTCTCTTAAACAAAGTCTGGCTCAGCCTTCTTCCTTCATTAGTAGTATGAAAACATTACCAATCTGAGAGCTTTATTATTTTGTTTTCAATCTCTTTCTATCTGTTGTTGTAAACTGGAGTCTATTTTAATTGAGAAGAGTAGGGTACTAGCAAAATTATGAGGCGTGAGGAACGATAAAAAAATTGTAGCCACAAAAATCGTACATACGATAATAACGATCATGTAAAACAGTTTTAGACACGGTATCGCTCAATAAGACATACAAAACGTTTTTTTCAGTTTGTTTTGACCATTTACAGGAGTCTGGAGCTTAGCAGTCAAGTTGCCGATCACTCCGAAAACGTTGGAGGGTGTAAAGCAGACCTAGATTGAAAAATCTGATAGTACAGAGTTTTTGAAAATTCCTAATTTTTTAGCTTCTTGCCAACTTCTGAAGGACACCTGCTTTTTTCACGTGTTCAGTACGAATAACACGCAAAAAAGGGGTGCCCTTCAGAAATCGGAAAGTAGCAGAAAAACAAGAAATTTCCATGAATTCGGTAAATGCAGACTTTTTAATCTAGGTCTGTTTCACACCCTCTGAAGTTCCCAAAGTGATAAGAAACTTGACTGCCGAGCTCCAGACCTCTGACAATTTTGAAAATTAATTGAACAATTGTTTGTATATCTTATTGGCTGATACTGTATATTAATAACAAATTTTAGTTTGTTGGTGCCTTCTTTGTTAGTATCCCAAGTACCATCGTCAATATTCTGCAAGGGTCATATTTTAGAATTCATCTGTTTACTAGTTTCTAAATGATCGAAAATAAAATGTTGAATCATCAATAGATTACACTGGATTCATTAGTACAAGTTGCACTACAACTTGATTATTCTCTTTGTGGACTAATTCCGCTTGAACTTTTTGCACTTCCGCTTGAACATTTTGCACGTTATCCAGGTACACTGTGATGTGTCTATGATCACACTTTATTTTCAGACCAGCGTCGGAAACAGAGCCACTCATTCATTTGTTAAAAAGGGGCGGGTCCTCATTGTGTCCTTTCTTTCTTGGAAATACAAATTTTGCAAAATGGTAACGACGGTATTTTCGGTATTTATTTCATTCTTCTTCATCTATACAGTCAGTCTTTCACTTTATACTCTAACAATGAAGACAATAAGAAAATACCCGAAACAATTCAACGCTTCGTTCTATCTTTTATATCTATGGGATTCAGCATTGAATATTTTCACCTGCCTTACTGGATTCTACATGATGCGATTGAACACTGTCGTTTCTGACGACTCTATGTTCGCATTCTTATATCGAGACGTCGGTGAGAGTGGGAATTTTCGAAGAGTGGATTCTAGCTTCAGTATTGTGAAATAAATTTTTGTTCAGTCACTTACCGGTCTGAGAAACATGGAAACTAACTAACTCTAGTGATCTCCTTCAAAAAAAATTGTTACAGCAAAATATGTCCCAATGAACGTTTTCACCGCTTTGAGTTATCACATGGCTTATGTTCAGTATACGACAACTGCTCTGATTTCTTTCAACCGGATGACTGTAATCTGGAAGAATGAGAGATTCGAACGGGTACGTTTATATAAACTACCGGCCAATGAAATATTCAACAAAGTATATCGTATTTTTCAGTTGATTTTCGACTACTTTGACCATTTTCAGGATTCTGGAGCTTAATTGTCAAGTTTCCAATAACTTGGAACGTTTCGTAATACGTAAAACAAACCTTGCTTGAAAAAAAATTTCATTCGCATAGTTTTTTTTTAATTCTTGGTTGTTTAGCTATGTATTGCCAATTTATGGAGGACACCTGTTTTTTTTTCATGTTTATAGTGCAAAGCGTTCAGAAGGAGGGTGTTTTTTGAAATCGGCAATCAGACAAAAACTATGAGCTTTAAAAAAATTCTATGAATGCGATGTCTTCAATCTAGGTCTGTTTTACACCCTCCAAAATTTTCAAAATGATTGGAAACTAGACAGCCGAGCTCCAGACTCTTGAAAATGGTCAAGATGGTCAAAAATGAATTGAAAAATTCGTTTTACACATTTGTAGCATTGGATGAAACACACGTGGCTTATCATGGCTGTTGTGCTACTGGTTCCACTCTTAGATACTCATCGTTTCATCCATTACAAAACTGAAATCCAGTATGACAACGACACGGAAAGTTACGAATTTGTGCCTTCAATGGTAATGATAATTTCTGATTTCAACGTTATATTGATAATTGATTTTCAGCCTCTTGCTGATACATTCACCTTTTTGCTTCCAACTATGGTTGTGATCACAGTGTTATCTGTCTGTTTCAATGTTTGTAGTGCTGTGCTGATTAAAAGACTCAAGTCCACCCTCAGCAAGAAAGGAAGCACCAAGTTTATGGTCATCACTGCTGTTACATGCATCGTTCAATTGTTGGGATGTTCGCTTAGTTTGATCCGTGTTAACGAAACAGAAAACTTCTTTGCTCGATTTCTGGCCAACAACGTTCTCCCTATCGTCAGTGATGCTCTGACACATATTCAACCATTTCTTCTCTTCGGGTTCAGCTCAGTTGTGAGAATTTATATTTTTGACAACTCAAAATATTGAAATCATTTTTTTCAGATACGCAGGCAGATGATGGAAATGCTCGGACTAAGGAAACCCAATAAAGTGAATGTCAATACCATTGCCATGCACGTTAATAATCCATCTCTGACGTCGCATCCTCTCTGACAAGTCTTTGTGTCACTACCTTTTTATACTTTTTCAAACAAATCTGTTATTCGATTGTAACTCTTGTCTCAATAGTTTATCAGCTCATTGATCAATAAACGATTTCACAAGGCAATTTTTTTGTCGCAGAACGATGCCCCATAGGGACTTGTCGCAGTACAATTCATTCAAACTGAATTTTTTCATTGATTCAAATAGCGAATTAAGCAAAAATATTATTCTTCTGAAGGATCTTCACTAATATTAATTTCGCCAGCCGGAAGCACCCCTGAAAAAAAAATACAAACCTTTCAGCGTAGTAGGCTGTTTAATGAATTTAGTTCAAAACTTTTTTTGTTAAAAGCTGACCGACTTTTACATCATTCAGAGAATCTTCCACTGTGTCTTCTCATTTTCCATTCAATCAGAAATTGTTGAGTTTAAAGAAAAACATTTGTTTCTCGTTTATATTCTCAGTTGCTTCCTTCTGCAGCCATTGGTATCTTGTCTTCATTGCTATTTTTTTAATCAGTTTCCGCTGCATGCCACTTAAAAAGTATGCTGCTGAAACATTTTGAATAATTTTCCTCGTATTTTCTTGCACCTTCAGCTAGTTTTTTTCAAACAAAGCGTGACATTTAACTGCATTTTCGTGGTGGCTATCTTTTTCTATGTGTATCCTAGGCCGCACAGCCGTGTACTCCTCGTGGAAAAACCACTTTTTAAACTATTTTTTAAAGATCTACCTCGAAAAATGATGGGAAAAACTCGTTTATTTGTGTCAAAAAGTTTTTCAAAAATTTATTCACTTCAATGTTCACTTCAGACAAGTTGGAAATTCGTCCGAATTTGTGTGCAGAGACATGGAATCATCGGTTTTTGAAGTAAGTGATAAAAATTTTCTATTTTCCGCCAGATTTAAAAGTTTTCTATGAGTAAAATGAACAGAACATTTTGAACACATTTTAAAGTTATAATATCGAATACAAACGTTTGTTCCAGACCTCCAATATGGAAAAAATTGAAAATTCAACTATCTCAAAAATAATTCCAAGTAATATATTAATTTTTCCAGATTTTCAGTCATCCATAGAATCAAGTAAATGTTTGATCGCCAACGAAACTGAGCAAGGTCCTTTATATCATCCATAAATAAGCCGTGAAGGAATCAATGACTTACGACACTTTGCATGAGTATTTTGGTTAAAAATTTGAAGCGAAGGCACGATTTTCTGACATTAGATGAAAATGGGTAGTTCCAATCGGTCGAAATGAATCGTTTCGAACAAATTTGTGAGTAATGACGTATCGGAGAAGTGGAACCGCACGTTTGTGACCCGCGGTTTTGACTAGATTGATTAAAATCACATTGAGCCATCTTATTACTGATCGTATGCTTAAATTCTAAACAAACGCTTCTCTATGTCTTGTTTTTACAATAATTATTGCAGGTGCTGATAGTTACTACAACTACTATTCGAATTCAGGGAAAACGCCCGTAAAGTGTGTATCAAAACTATGCTGGACCTCACAAAAAGGATTCTGACCGACAATTGATCTGTATACCTAGTGAGTTAATTCGATAGTTACTGGAGACATCATTTAATCATTTTGCTTCAGAAAATAACGAATGAAAAGCCGTCAAATGGAGCCACTCAGTTCACTCCACTTTTTCTCAATATTATCAACCGTGCTTTTCCGGGATTTTTACGGAATTATCATTGTGTATATGAATCATTCTGGCTATGGAGACCGCTTTGAGATGACCGTCAATGTGAGTTTTTTTTTCTATTCAAAAAATTTCAAATATTATTATCTGCCAATAACATTCTCCGCAGTTGCTGTCGGTTTTTGGGCAAAAGTTTGCTGGATGTCTGAAAGCTGCCGAAGGTGCGCTCGAATGCTGGCAAACCTTCGTATAACTTTTGCTCGAAACATGCTGAAATCGCAATCCAAAAAGTACCAAATTTCGCCCAGAAGGCGCTCAAAATTTGTCCAAAATACTTCATCCGCAGCCGAATTCGGCTTGGCTGCGTCTGTATTATTATTAGTGAAAGTTACGGGTTGGTTCGCCATCTCTTGAGCAAACAATAGACACCTTCTGGGGAAAGTTAGGATGCCATGGTTTTCTAATCCTACTTTTGTGCGCCTTATGGGCAAAGTTTGGTGTACGAATAGCGATTTTGTCACCTGCCGGCGCATGTTGAGCTAAAGTCGAGCTAACGTTCGTCAGCTTTTAAGCGTGTTGCAGCTTTCAAGAAAAGTTAAGCAAAGTTTGGCAAACCTAAGTCTAAAAGCCGGGTTGGTTCACCATCCTGTTTTAGGCAAGACTCTCCAGAAATGATACCTTGATAAATCTTCAAATCCATCCAAGCTCCCTCAAAAAACAAAACGAAAATTCGTGACTGACTCTGTTCACTTAAAAATGATTCCCGACGTTTTCAAACAACCCAAACCTCAAGCAATCTTAGAGAAAATGTCCTCCGCTTTTCCTAAGTTCATAAAATCGTCGGATTTTTTGTTTCCAAAGCTGTCCGAAACCATTTTTCCTGGAACTGAGTGTTTCCTGAACCCAAATGCTAATCCTTGATCCCCGACGTGTCACTAATTCGCTGATCTGATCTAATATTTTAACCCCTTTGTGTTATTAGGATTATTATACTGGTATATTTAGGAATATTTCGAACATTAACATCACATTCTCATTAATTTTTCTCGCTCTGATGTCCTTGCTTTTCCAGACACTTCTGTTCAAGTAACACTTTCACTTTCTTTTCAGAATGTCCACATCACATGAGAAGACAAGGACAACTTTGCTGTTTCGGAAACGATTCCTTGTCGAATCGGGAATGCAGAGATGATAAAGATTTTTTTGGAGTTTCATTTGGCGGACGATTTGTTGGGTAGTCGACACTTTACAGTAAACTCTGTGTCTTCCATCCAATTTTTTCTCTGAGTATCTCAATTCTTGCATGCCTCTATTTACAATTTTCTTTTTTTTTCCGATGAACTTCAATAAACTATCTAGATTCTTATCTCGATGGTATACGGTAGTTTAAACTGTTTAAAAATTCCTGCAGTGTTCTTATTTCAGCTAGTCATTGGTAAAACTATCATGTGGTCTCTAATTTCAAAATTTCAAATATCCTTTTCGTTGTCATTTTTACTGGCCTTTTCGAAAATGACATTTACTTTGTCCTTATGAAAAATTGTAATCCTTTTGATATACGACAGCGACAGCGGGATTGAGTCATGATGCTATCTCTTCTCTGTTCTATCGTTCAAATACCTAGCGGCTTCTTCATCATCCTTTCCTCGTTCCTCTCCGCCTTCGTCTTCTCTCTCACCGCCGTTCTGACATGTACCATAATTTTTGTCTTACAAAATATTTCGAATAAGCTTTCATCGAGATCTTGATCTGTTTTCATTTCTCTGCAAAATCATGCGCTTTTCAGGGTTGACCGATGGACGACGTAGGAGACTTGGACCGTTTTCCAAACAATTTCAAGTTTGAAGAAGTTGTGGAAAATGAAAGGTACGTGTGTCACAAAATGTTAAAAAACTAAATTTTGTGTGTTTCAGTATACCACAATCCGATGTTCAAATGAGAGAGATTGAGTTCAAATGCTTTGCACTTCTTGGAAAAGGAGGTTATGGAAAAGTGAGTTTTTTTTTTAAATTTCAAATCGATGAGGGACTATTATCTTGTTTAATATACAGCAAGGTATACAAAAGAGTGTTTGTCGGTAGGTTTCGACCATTTTCAAAAGTCTCAAAGCTCTACTGATAAGTTTTCGATCATTTTGAAAACTTTAGAATGCGTAAAACAGATCTTTATTAAAAAAACTGCATTCACCAAATTTCTTGAAAATTCTTAGTTTTTCAGCTATTCACCGATTTCTGGAAAACACCCCTTTTCTGCACGGTTTATGCACTGACAACGTGAAAAAGGTGTCCTTCAGAAATCTGAAAAAGGTGTCCTTCAGAAATACCGTAAAAACTCCATTAGATAGCCCCCCTAATTGAATGCCAGCCTCTAATATATTGCCATCCTAAAGCACCTCCGAACAATAAAGTGCCAGCCCTTAATATAATGCCACTGCGGATTTGATGTCATTGTGGTAAAAGTTAAAGAATAACAGAAAAAAATCATTTTCTGGTTTTCTAGCTTTTTTTCAAGCTTCAAAGAGGTACGGTATTTGCCAAAAATGTCTCAGGATAATAGCAGACTCCTAAAATCTCTTTAAATAATAGAAAAACTAAGAAAACCTCGAAAGTCATTTTATGAAAAAAAAAAAAAAAGAAAATCGAGTCTTTCTGTGATGAGTTTCAGTAAAAATTGGCTCCGAACAATAAAGTACCAGCCTTTAATTGAATGTCATCCCCTAATACAGTGCCAACCCAGACCACCCCTGAAGAATAGAGTGCCATGGCTACCTAATAGAGTTTTTATGGTAATTAAAAAACTAGCAATTTTCAAAAAAACTCTGTGATTGCAATGTTTTCAATCTAGGTCTGTTTCACACTCTTCGACGTTTTCGAAGTAATCGGAAACGAGACAGCCAAGCTGCAGACTTCTGAAAATTTCAAAAGTCAACTGAGAAACGCATATTCTTGTCTTATTGACCGGTACCGTAAACCTTATTAATCTCTAATCCAATTTATTTCAGGTCTATCTCGCGTATGTTCATGGTCGAACAAAATACTACGCTATCAAAGAAGTAAGAAAGGATATCATCGTATCGAAAAACAAGCTCAAGTACGTCAAAAACGAGTTTCACGTTTTCAAACAGCTTGATTCGGTCTTCTTTCCCAAATTCTACGCTGCTTTTACCAATGAGAAGTACCTGATGTTCGTTATGGAGAACGTTGAAGGTGGATCGATGCGTCAATTGCTTGAGAGACAAGGACGACTGGACCAACACGAAGCTAAGTTCTACGCAGCTGAGTTGTTTGTTGGCATCTGTTATCTTCATGATAACAACATTGCTCATAGAGATCTGAAGTGTGAAAATCTTCTTCTTACTGCGAATGGTCACCTTAAAATCTGCGACTTCGGATTAGCCAAACCAAACATGACTGAAAACACTCTCTGCACAGAATTTTGCGGTACACTTCTCATGCTGGCTCCAGAAGTGCTCCAAGGACTTGCATATACCCGTAGCACCGATTGGTACGCATTTGGGCTCATCTTGGCGGAGATGTTCATCGGAAGATCACCAATGTTTCTTGGAGACAGAAAGTCCACAAAGCAATTCATAATTGAGATGCCTTTCGACAAGTTGGCACTCCCAGAAATGCCGTTTTTTGCTAAGAATTTGGCGAATAAACTGGTCACGGATCGACGGAAGAGACTGAAGCCAGAACAAATCGCCAACGATCAGTTCTTCGTTGGAACCGACTGGAACAATGTCCGACTTCAACTCATCCCTCCTCCATTTGGTCGCAACAAGTTCATTCAGGAAACTCGTGTTTTGATCAGTGGAAAAGGCAATGAAGTGGGCATTGTTTCAGAGTCAAAGCAGAATTTGTTCGAAGAATTTGATTACAACGTTCCCGGAGAATTTCAATAAGTGAGTTAGGTCAGTTTCTAGTTTATTTTTTCAGAAATATGCGAAATCAGAAATTCCATTTTCCACTGTTGCGTTAAAAATATAAATAAATATATTTCAGATGATTCTGATCCTCTCTCCTCCAACAAATTTTTGCTCTACTTGGATCTGCCTTTTACTCTTCTTCTTATACAATTTCTTTCATCATGCTAACTTCAACATAGTTTTACCCGCTTTTTTTCAGATTTTTCCCCAGTTTTCTCTCTTCCCTTTCGTCTCAAAAACTGTTCCTGTGTTCAAAAAAAAGCTCCCATCAAATTACTACTTTCCAAGGTTCGCTTATCCTTTTCTCTTCGGCCACCCTTTCAAAAATCTCAAAGCATCTCATCTTTCTATTTTATTTAATATCCCCTGATTATCCAGTTCTTATACAGTTCATTATTCAGATAATTCATTAGATTATTCAGTTCAGTATTCTTCATCCAGTTCGTTTCAAAAACTTCTCTTGTGTTCAAAACAAGCTCCTATCAAGTTGATACTTTCTAATTTTCGGTTATATTCCCCTCTACGGTTACCCTTTCGAAAATCTCTTCCCAACTGATATGATCACTTCCAGCCAACTTTTCTCTTTTCAATTCATGTTTTGAATGATCTCCATTCTCAACAGGTTCCCGATCACTTCTCTGGTGTTTAGTAAACTATCACTTCAAATTTCATTCTGTAGTTTTTTGTAGTTGTTTTTGTTATTCTTTCCCATGTTTAACAGATATCCTGTTTATGATCTTATGTTAGAATAAACGCTAGTTCGAAGTTTGAACTTCAAGTTTAAAGAAGTTTAAACTTCAAATTTGAAGTTTAAAGAAAGATATCCCAAAATCCCGGCAAAAATAGCTGAGCTCCCAAGTGTAATATTTTTCTTGAAGCAAAGTTTTTCGTATAGCACTTTAAAAGCAAGTGCCAATGATTTGTGGGCTGTGGAAAAAATTGTTGAAGCTTTCATCTTTCGAGCAATGGATACGAATGGTCCTTGGAGAAACTTGAAATTATAATTCTTTATTAAAGCAGCGATTAAAAAGTGAGAGTTCGGTCGGATAAGTAAAATGAATACAAAGTTTTGAACATTTATGAAGTTTCCTGAAATCCAAAATATTTTAGGTTGTCTTTTTTTATTCATATTCATCAAATTTGAGAACTTTATATTATTCATTGCGTTGAACAGAAGATCAGAATTTGCCATCTTTTTGGAAAAACGATTTAAAAAATGGGAAAATTGAAAGTCGATAAGGGAGCATTAGGTCATCCAGAAAAAACAAAAGAACTTTCCAAATTCATTGATCTTACCTTTTATTGTACTTTGTTTCCAATACTGTTGCAAAACGCTGAAAGATCCATCAGTTCTTGCCGTACTACATTCTGCTCCATTTTCAAAATAAGGGCTTTTTCATTTTTAGGGAAAATTTCTGAGACTGCGATATAAATAATTCTACATTCGTGAACATGTCAATCAAACACACAAGTAACTTTATCGATAAGAAAAATCAGTTTTCAACTCCTTCTATGCCCTGGTAAAGGGACATTTTAGCCGCATTCTGTTATCTACGTCGCTCCAAATAATGATATGTTCGCTTTGAAAAATTGTCAAAAATCGATAAACTAGTAATTCTCCAGAAAATCCGCTCTCCTAATTGACTTGCAATTCATTTAATCAAGATCTCAACAGTTTATTTTGCCGAATGAACGCATTGTAGAGTGCTACATTGTAGAGTGTTACACGTAAGACAAAAATTATTATTGGTCCCCAAGGTTTCAATTCTTTTCTTTTTTCTCGGCTATTTCTCGGCTCTTTCTCAGATATTTTTTACTCGGCGCTTTGAGCTTCTTGAACTTTTTTCTGATGTATTACACATGTGATCATGAGTTTCGTCCTGAGTCACATCCTCTTCCTACGAAAACTTCAAAAAAAATTCAAAGCGTTCTGTGGGCAGATGTTGTGGAAAATCAATGTTCGTGTAATTTGTCAAAATATTCTGTTCTGAAATTATTTCAACAGTTTCTAACAAAAAAATTAAAATTTGTTCCCTAAAAACCTTGATATTTTTCATTTTCCAGCGTGGTGCTATCATTATGACAAGGAGCGGAGAGAGACTTTTGTTTACTGTACTCTTTAATACAATCTATGATTTGGTATTGCTGATATACAGGTTTTTGGGGATGCTGAATCGAATGGCATTAGCTGCTTTTCTTCTAGTTTTCTAGTTTTTTTTTCAAAACCTCAAAACACGGTGTGGTGCTATCATTATGATGCGTTCTGTAGTTTGTATTTCAAAATATTGAATTTTGATAGTTCAAATGAGAACGATCTCCTAAAAATTCGGAAAAAAAATTTGGGCTCCGAAGTGTAATATCCCAAATTTCTATCCAACAACTGTAATTCAGTCTTGAGAAAATTTTTGCCGTGCTATGCGCAATTTTTATTCACTCCAACTTCATGCAAAACTGGAACAAGAGGGTGTTAATGAAAAAGTTTTCAACATCATTTTCGACCAATTTCTGCCAACGCGTAATCTACGTTTCTATGCTTTTCTTAAAGAACTACACCGGCTGTAGTTTGAATTTTGCTCCCTTCTGTTATATGGAGTCTCATCATTTTACTCTCAAATAAAGGTTAATAACTGAAATCATGTTGGAAAAATGGACCGGCTGTGCTTCCATTTTGTTTGAGTTGCTTCAGATTCTTGAACTCTTTAATGATGTGCTTTGAGTTGTAATCATGAGTACTTTTGCATCCTCTTCTACGAAAACCTCAAAACATGTGAGCAGATGTTGTAGTAGTTCCGAGAAATTTTCATCTTTTACGAAACGAATAAACGTGAGTTATGATGGTTGGGTCGGCATCTCATGGTTGCATCGGGAGGTTTCTATCCGACGCCTTATTTCTCATTATATTTGTACTATGTTTCGGTTCAATGTTCCACAATTTTTTACTTTTTGCTAATATATTATAGGAAGAGAAACGTATTTATTATTTCTGTTTTTTTTAAATTTTAATCCAATTAGTTTGCTGAGCTCTATGTATAATATTAAGCTATTTTTCCCTAGATTCCTTCTACCTCGCATTCAGTGACATGAAAAATGTTTTATACTGGCTCGTTCAGAATGCGCCTGTTTCTTGTGATCTTCATATTCATCGCCGGAACAATTGCCCCTGTGAATCCATCACGCTTTTTCATAAGAGGCACCGTCAAATGTCAAGATGCGCCTCCGTGGTGCTACACCATCCAATTACTGGAATTAGATTCGTAAGTTATTGCAACAGTCGAACCATGCCATTTTTTTTCAGCGCTTTCAATGATGTACTTGCTAGTCTCTCGGCTTGCGAACTCACGAACCCCAATCAGGAATTCCTCATCGAAAGTTGGCAGCCTTGGGACGGACCACTTGATGTAAGTGACTAAAAAGGATCTCATAACATATTTCTTTTTAAGTGGCATTTTGAACTCGAATTATCAATAAAACACGACTGCGGCATCGAGATTACCGAAGAGAAGCAATCAATGAAATTGTCGTTTGGACAATTTTATAGATTGAAACCGTGAGTTCATATTTTTTCTGTTGTAAACTGCGAGAACATTTTTTAAAGATACTTTGATAAAAAAGTCGAAATCGACTTCAACAAGAACACTGCAAAAGTTATCGAAATTTGGGATCCGAAATATTGGAGTGACTGATACCAAAATTTAATTCATTCAGTGAGTTTTACATAGTTTGAATCAAAAACGTCTTCTTTTTTTCAGATAAGCCAATGCACACCAATGTTAGGACTAACTGATCATCATTAATTTAGATCGGAAATTCAGAAATAAATATATGAAAGTTTATATTAAATGAATAAATAAAATATAATATCAATAATAGATTCGAGGTCAAAATATTGAATTTTAGATATTTCAAATGAGAAGGGTTCCCTAAAAACTTAGAAAAACTTAGGCTCCGAGGTGTAATATCCTCAGTTTCTATCAAATAGGATAGATCCCCCAGAAATTTCAAAAAAGTATTCGGCTCTGAAGTGGAATATGCCCAGTTTCCATCCAACTTTTTTCTGCCAGTCGTTTCTCCTGATGCTAATTTGTAAGGTTTTCGTATCTTCTTCTTCTCATCACTTTAACAGCAACTGACAATGTTTCGTGGGTTGATGTTGTGGCAAAGGTTGTTTTTTCATCTTTCAATCAATAGAGACGAATGATTAGTGGCACTTGAAGTAGCTTCACTTATGACAATGATCGGTATTCAAATCTTACTGATCCTGTCAAAGTTTTGCTTCTTTCTTTTATCTATATGGACTCTCATCATACTACTCTCGAAAAAATGTTATTAACAGAAGTTGTGTTAGAGTTATTACAAAATGAACCGTGCCGAAGACCAGATCAATTGGTACTTGCTCCCCATTCCACCTATTCGTAACTATCGAACAGTTTTACAAGTTCAATGGCAAATTAGTGACCCCCAACATGCACTTCCAATCAGTTTTGCTTTGATTTTTTGAACTTTTTTCTGATGTGTTTTGACTTGCGATCATGAGCTCTTTCGCATTCTCATCCTACGAAAACCTAAAAAAGTTGAGTGTTTCGTGGCCAGAGAAACTTATCATTTACGAGTCAGAGAAACGTGAGTTATGATGGTTGAGTCGGTATCTCATGATTGCACCTTAAACTTTCTACCCGGCTTCAAGCTGTCGAGAGGCAGTTGACGATAATTTCTGCTTTGGCAACAGAACAAGGCAAAACAGGATGATTATTATCTTTGTTTTTTTTTCTAATTTCTAATCCAATTATTTTGCTGAACTCTATATTACAGCTATCTTTCTCTAGATTCTTTTTACCTCGCTTTCCGCAACATTTGAAAATTTCCACACTGCCTTATCTCATTTAGAATGCGTCTTTATCTTGTGCACTTTCTCTTCATCGCCGGGATAATTGCCCCTGTGGTTCCAACACGATTTTATATATCTGGCACCGTTTCCTGTCAAAGTTCCCCTCCCTGGTGCTACACCATCCAATTGCTGGAATTAGATTCGTAAGTTATTGCATCAGTCGAATCATTCTAACTTTTTTCAGCAACTTCAATGATGTAATTACCAGTGTATCTGGTTGCGAACTCACGAACCCCAATCAAAAATTCAGTTTCGAAGGTTGGCAGCCTTGGGATGGACTTTTCGATGTAAGTGACTATGAAAGATTTCATATAATGAGTATTTTTAAGTGGCATTTTGAACTCGAATTGTTAATAAAACACGATTGCGGTCTCGAAATCACCGACGAGAAGCAATCAATGAGATTGTCGTTTGGGCAATTTTATAGAGTGAAACAGTGAGCTAATAATTTTTTCTGTCTTAAACTTTGAAAAACGTTTTGAAGTACCTTTAAAAAAGAAGTCAACATCGATCTCAGCAAAAACACCACGGAAGTTATTGTGACTCCTACCAAATCTTGGGAGTGACTGCCATCAAATTCGAAGTCACTCGGTGAGTTTTACAGTTTGAAATACATCTTGAAACTCTTTATTTCAGAAATGCCAACACACTCTTGAAAAGTTTCGAATTCTAGGATTAACTAATCGTAATCAATTCAGCTCAAAAAATTCAGAAATAAATAGATACGAATTCATATTGAATTGAATGAGAGAACATTTTCAGCAGTACAGGTAATTTTAGGTCACACGTTTGACCACAAGGTCACAAGAAGTTTGAGGAAATAATGCTGACAATCTGTCGCCGTTGGTCTCAAAAATCAAATCGAGAATGGTAATCGATTTGTTAGTGGATACTTAGATACACCACAAACATCAAAATGATTTAGTGAATTTTACATATTTTGAATTCAGGCTTGAATACTTTCCTTTTCCAGATAAGAAATGTCAAAACAATGCAAACTTACAAAATGTTGAATCCGACGTCAGAACATGTTTCAAAACTTGCCTATTCAATTTCATCTTTTTACAGCGATCATAATAAATGAATTTACATTATTTGGTTTAGTCCCATTTTTTTGTCAAAACATATGTGTCTTGTATAAGTAATTTGGTAACATATATCCGAATTTTTTCTGTCTTTCTCACGTTTCGAATAAACAATGAAAGGCGTGTCATGAAACCTGAAATGTACTTAATACTAATAAAATCGAAAGTTTTTATAAGATTTCACGAACCTTTCTTTTCAAATCATCACTTATTAACAGACAATCATGCCCTCAAACAATAATGATAGGTTTAATTCTGCCTTAATATTTTTACAGAACTCCAAACTGAATTGATAAGAGTTTAAAAAACATGCCTTTTCATTTTTTTTCACAGTGTCCAATGAGTCCATAAAACATTAATTTCCTGTTCTTTTTTGAGATTTCAAATTAGAAGGATCCCCCGAAATCTCGAAAAAAAATGTTTGGGCTCCGAAGTGTAATATCCCCAGTTTCTATCCAGGTTTTTTTTTCTTGAAGCAAAGGTTTTCGTATCCACTTCCCATCTGCACTTCAAAAGCAGGTGTCAAGGATTAGTGGGTTGACGTTGTGAAAAAAGTGGTTGAAGCTTTCATCTTTCGAGCGATGGATACAAAGCATCAATGGCTCTTGGAGTGGCTTGAACTTATTATCCTTCGATTGAAAACTGACTGAAAAAACGGATCCGGAGGGATAAATAATATGAATATAAGTTTTAAACGACGAACTCATTAAACTTACAATAATCTAGAAATATTTCTGGTTTATTCAATATATTCTATATTCAGCAAATTTTAAACTTAAAAACTTCACATCATTCATTGGGTTCACCAGAAAATCTTAACTTGTCATGTGTTTTGAAAAAAACAATGACGGAATATTTGAAAACCTGACGGTCGTTACGGAAACATCAGAACTATTAAACAACCGAAGAATATTCAGCATTCATTAAATGAATATTGACTGTACGCTACCCTATCAATAAAAATAAATGTAGCAAAATGTTGACAGATCCCAACAGTTTTTACCGTATCGCATTCTGATCCATTTTCAAGATAACGAGATTCTCATTTATAGGGAATCATTCTGAGACTTTCAAATAATACTTGCTTCCTAACTCCCCTCTTTGCAACGCATTGTAGAGTCTCACAAATAAGATAAAATTTTTTTTATTGGTTTTCATTAGTTTTTTTCTCTTCTTTTCTCCGATCTTTGGGCTTGTTGAAGGTTTCTCTGATGTATTTTCACATGTGATCATGCGTTCCGGAACATCCTCTTTCTACGAAAACCTCAAAAAACTTGTGAGCAGATGTTGTGGTAGTTCAGCGAAACCTTCATCTTTGACGAGTCGGAGTCGGAGAGAAAGTGGGAGGTTCGGCTGGCATCACTTACTTTTGAGTGAGGCAAACGAAGGAACCTTTGTTTTACGGATCATTCGAGCTAGCTTCACTCCGCAAATATATTTTTGACCTTGTTATTTTTTCGTAACCTGAAATGAGAAAGCTTAACATAGCACTTGGTTTTTTGTTCGGAATTCAGACTCAATTAATTTGCTGAGCTCTAAATTACAACTATTTTTTTCCTGATTCCTTTCACCTCAGTAACGTTCAACATTTTTTGCGCCTTATTTCATTTAGAATGCGTCTCGGTTTTGTGCTTCTCATCTACATCGTAGGGATGAGCGCAGCATCAGTTTCAAGCATAATACAATATGATCCGATTCAAACAGACTTCAATATCACAGGCACAATCAAATGCCACAATGCCCCTCAGTGGTGCTACACCGTCCAATTGCTGGAATTAGATTCGTAAGTTATTGGATCAGTCGAATCATTTCATCTTTTTTTTTTCAGGACCTTGAATGATGTAATTGGTAGCGTGTCGGGTTGCGAAATCACAAACCCTTCTCAGGATTTCCTTTTGGAAGATTGGCAACTTTTTGACGGAGTTTTTGATGTAAGTGACTAAGAAGGATTTCATAACATGGTTATTTTCAAGGGAAATTTTGAACTCGAATTATTGATAAAACACGACTGCGGCCTCGAAATCACCGACGAGAAACAATCGCTGAGCTTGTCATTTGGACATTTTTCTACAGCGAGACCGTGATTTCTTATTTTTCTGTAGTAAACTGCAAAAAACGTTTTGAAGGTCCTTTGAAAGAATAGTCGAAATCGACCTCAGCAAGAACACAACAAAAATTATCGGTTACAGTGATTGGGAGCGACGATTGGGAAAGATACCGCATTAGAGTTCACTCAGTGAGTTTTAAACAGTTTCTATTAAAAACTCTTCTTTTTTCAGAAATGCGAATGCACACTTGCAAAGTTTCGAACGATAGGATTAATTGATCATATTCAATTTAGCTTGAAAAATTCAGGAATAAATAGACGCAACGTCACATTAAATTGAATGATATAAAATTTACAGGGATGCAGACAATTTTAGGTCACAAGTTAGAAGAAGTTTGAGAAAATATTTCTAACGAATCTTGGACATTAGCCCTAAAAATCAGGTCGAGATTATGCGATGAATTTGATATATTCACATTCATCACCATCTTCCAAATTTTTTAGTGAGTTTTACACATTTCGAACTTAAGTTCGAACGAACTTAGTTCGAATGTTTTTTCTTCTCAGATAAGCAATTACAGAGCAACACACACTTGCTATGAACGAAGCTTATCCTCACAAACAGTCGTCATTGGTCCTAAAAATCAGGTCGAGATGAAACAATGGATTTGATGAATTTGGTTGTTCGGAAAGTCCTTTCCATTTTTAGCGTCAGATACATTCGATAAAAAAAGGTCAAAACGATGTCAGTTAAATTGAAGATAACGACCATTGTTATCAGTGGCTATCTGCCAACGTCTCGCCAAATTGTGGATGCCTTCCTTCCAGAACTCCGGTGACAGCGCATTGAAAATCAGGTCAACCCATTTTTGACATCATGCTTTGAAGTGAATTTTTTCAATCAAGATGTAGGTAGAAATGGCTGGATAAGGGGTAGTCAGACAGTACAAGGTTTGGACTATACTGTAGATAAGACAGAACCGTTTAGCCGTATCCAGTGAGATCGGTCTCCGTTCTCCTTCCCGCATGAGGTTGTGAATTTTGATTTTGAAAATAAACCTTTGTGTTTCTCTCCAATGGAGAGAGTCTGAGTTATGTCACCTGACAAAAATAGGTATCGGTCATAAAAGTGACACCATTATCTGGCAGCTCCCAATACTCCACTCCTTGGTAGACATCCATGCCGAAAACATCCCATTTTTAACATTAATTTCACGTTTCGGGACGTCTGGCGGTTGAGTGCCTTTGTCAACTCACTTGGATTGTTGTTTATAGTAATCATACATTACCCATTTATCGCCACTAGTAATGATTTAACTTCAACATTCATGTGTGCAACGCAGGATGAGAAGATTCAAACAGCTGCCCACACATGAAACAAAGTTGCTTGGAGCGAAAAGGTGTGATCCATATCTTCCCACTTTTTTTTTTTACTTTGCCGAGAGTTCCCAATTTATGGCTTTTTGACGAAATGCTTGCCACTGATGTACTTGATATATCACGCACAGTTTAAGACGGGTCCCTTTTAATTTTTAATGCGTCCAAATCTGAGCCCGTATGCTTTTTTGGAGGGGATTTTCGTCCAACAATAATTTTCATTTTTCAAATTGATGAATCCAGGTTGTAAAGTTTGTTCGGAAGGGTGCATCTTCGTTGTTAACCTCCACAAATTGGTGATTGATTTCAGTTGATCTGAGGTCAGATAGAAATACAAATAAAATGGTAGTTCAAAAATGGAAATTATTAGAGGCGAAAACGGTGGGCATATCTCACTGCATGAAAAGAGGAGAATGATCTCCGTTGGGATGTAGACAATATTAGACCTGACCAGCACACTGTTAAAGCGACAACTCCCTCGCTTTAATCCCCTTCAAGAAAACGAAGTTTGAAAACAACATATCAAAAGTGAAAGGACTTTCCTAACAACCTAATACTTAAATTCATCATCAACTTTCGAATGGCTCAGTAAGTTTTATATAGTTTGAATTCAAGACTGAAACTTTAATTTTTTCAGAAAAGTCATGTCAGAACAACGGACATTTGCACAGTTTTGAATACCCCATCAGAATATTCTTAAAAGCTTTTTATTCAGTTTCATCTACTCACAGCTATTATAATAAACGTACTTTTATTTATTTTGATGTGTGCTCACCTCTCATCATAAAAAAATCAGAGTTAGATATAACTTATTATCTGATGACACAACAGTTCTCCGTTGTATGCTTTCCTGAAGTTTCGGGACTCAAAAATTCAAAAAAAAAACGAATGCCTTTGACACAAAATCAAATAGAATGACACAAAATCAAATAGAACAATGTGACAATGAGAAGTGAAAATTTTCTGTCGTAATTTTTAAAAATTCAAAAATACTGAGATTCTGAAGTTCTGCGATTTCGAAGTTCTGAAATTCTAACATTCTGAAATCCTCAGACTCTGAAGTTCCAAAATTCTCAGATTCCGAAATACTGAAATTTCAAAGTTCTGAATTCTAAGAATTCTGAGATTTTCAAGCTCTGAAATTCAGGAATTCAGAAACTCCCTCAAAAAAAACTGTACCCCCGAATCACAAGCGTTGTACCCCTGAATGAAATGAGTTGTACCCCCGAATTTTTGGCCGAAATTCTACCCAGTTGACCCTCCGAAATAACACCTTCGATAGTCTGCAATTGTGTTTGTTTTCCTCAAAGAACTACGAAAAAGATGTAAAAACAACAATTCATCATGTTCAGAATCATATACTCAAATTGATCTCAATGACCCCTATGAAACTATCAATGCCCCCTGGGAGCATTTGGTCCGATGCCTCCTATGAGACATGGTGGGATGCCCCCTAAGAGACAACTTCAGGATGCCCCCTATGAGTTAGTGACCCCTATGAGTGTATACCCCCTTTGAGCACGATGCCCCCTATTTCGATGCCCCCTGGGAGTATGGGCCGAAGTTCTTCAAAGATCCTTTTTCCAGCAATTTTTCCTCCCACAGGTAAAATGCAAACGGACCCGTTACGGATGCTCCGCTTTCGCGCGCCCCTAAACCGTTTCCAGCAAAACACAACACATTATTGCGGGTTTCTCTGTATTCTGTCCGTTCGCGAACTCCGTATACGATCCGATCGCGAATGATGAACAAACGGATCCGTTCGCGAATCTGAATTCAATTTGAGAACGCGGAGCGTCCGAAACGGATTGTTCGCAAATCACCTGGGTCTGCAAGCGATACTGTATCCTATCTCGCGTGACCCAAGTATTCTGATTTTTTTAATTTTTCACCCGTGCAATAGGAATGATATCCTCAATTTCCGATTCGAAAAAAATCTTTGATCACTGCTCCCACTATTTTTTTCTTGTAGTTTTTTTCTCATTTCCCGTTCCATGTTTCCCATATTCTAATTTTCAAAATACTGTTCCGAATCCTGCTTCTCCCATCCTAACACTAAAATATACTAAAATATTCCGTACACCCCTCGTCTCTTGCGCAACGAAATAGAGATTCGGTCAATCGGCCATCTTCTTTCAGCTTAGCGTCTATCAATCATTGCTAAAACATCCGAAGAAACCAATTCTGATATCTTCAAGCAGTAGTTGTTTGCAAAGTTCCCCGCGGACATCCCATTTCAGTCTTCGGTCTCAACATTGCTTGTTCTTATTCATATTCATCATCTGAGCAAATGTTGGCCATCTTCTTCATTTCCGCAACAATAAAATGAAAACTATTTCGTGATCCGCTGTTAGAGCCTGGAAAATTTTGATCACCACATTAATAAAAAAACAATAATAGAAAGCGACAACTAAATTTTTTCACATTTTTCAAATTCTAGAGATTTAGTTAATCTACTTGAAGTAAACTTTGATAAGCAAAAGCTGAAAATTATAGTATAAAAATGCGTCAAGTATCCCGATATGCGTCACTCATTCACAAGCTGTGTCAACTACACCTGCGTTGCGTACACGCAACGCGGCTCAATAGTAAGTGTGGAAAATACGGAGAGCACAGAGATGAATTTTAGCGGGAGCTCAAAATAAATTGCAAAATAGCTCAAGAATTAGAGATGTGCAATGTTTCAGGGTTTTTGAGAAAACCGTCTTCTAAAAAGTTTGATCATCTCATATGTTTGATCATAACATTTTTAATCTAGATAGCAAGTAGACGTTACAGGAAACCCCCGAACGAAACGACAAAAAATAACATGCATCATAAATATAACAATAAGTAAGAAACAATGGCAACAGTTGCTCAGCTGAATTAAAATCAGCTTTCTATCATCCATCCCACTCCGCTCTTTATTCACATAAGTTGTTCAATGAGTCAAAATATTGGCATGGATGTCTCCCATTGCACAAAATTGCGGTTCGACTTTCTTTCGGCCGAATTTTCTGTGGCAACATTCCACAATTCCAATCGCACGACATTGCACTTCAATCGGTTAATGCGCACTGACAAGACGGAACAGCCTCTTAGACATTTCATATTTCTGATCGCTTGATCCGTGATCTTCTTCCTGAAATAAAGTATTTTGTGTACTTGGTTTAGTGCGAATTATGAAATCAGTAAGTTTTCTCATTAATAAACAACTGCCCTATCTGTCTGTTCTTAACGTGTTTCATACATTCTCTTGATCATCTTCTCATAATACCATTCCGACTTTCATCGATTACTCTCCGGCTTCCATTCATGTTCCATCATTGTTCTCCATACATTCTACTGTTCTTCGCAAACAAAAACAAAAATTTCTCGGATCTATCGTTACTCGCTGTGGATAATCCTGCCATTCGTGTACTCCATGTCTCCAAAACTACTCCAAAATGTTCTTGTTTTGTGTTCCGCTTTGAGTCGAGAAGTCAACAAATTGTTGAAGTCGTGCACGAAATCTGAAACTCGAAAACTACAACACGCTAATAAATTAAAACAAGCTCACCTCAAGCAATCTGAGAGAATTCCCTCGAAAACAATGAGCAATTCAACTTTTTTGATGTTGATAGCTAGTAGACGTTATAGGAAACCCCCAAACGAAACGAACCACCATACATATAACAATACGTAAAAAGCATGGCAATGACCGCTCACGCATCAGCCGAATTACAGTCAGCTTTTTATCATTCACCCCAACCCCGTACTTCAACATAAGTTTCTGAAAGAATCCAAATTTTGCCTCGAATGCTTCCCATCGCACGAAATAGCACTTGGCAATTCATTCGACAGTAGTTTCTGTGGCAACACTTCGCATCTACAATCGCATGACAGCGAAAATTATTTGCACAGGCGACTTCATGGTCTTTTTCCTGAAATAAAGTATTGTATGGGAGAGTCTTAGTGCGAATTATTTGATGGATAAGCCCTCTCATTGAGAAAAACAGCCTACCTTTTTGTTTTTCAACGCATTGCATACGTTTCCTTGATATTCTTCTCATAATTCATCTCCAACTGCCATCCATTCTTCTTAACCTCACATCTATTCCATTCTTCTTAGCAAATAGTAGCAAATTTTCTTTGATCCATCGTTACTTTACTGTAAAGATCCTGCTACTTGAGGGCGCCATGCCTCCAAAGTTGCTTCAAAATGTTTCAAAGCGTCGAAATACTTGTTCTTTCTTCCATTTTGCGTCGAGGAGTTAACAAATTGTTGTAGTTGCATGGAATCTGAAATTCGAAAACTACATCCTGTTCATGTTTTGATATAAGCTCACCTCAAGCAATCTGAGAGAATTCCCGCAAAAACAATGAGCAATAAGTAAAAAGCCTGGCAATGGCAGCTCACGCTTTAGCTGAACTACAATCAGCATTTTATCATCCACCCCACATCACACTTTATTAACATAAGTTGTTCAATAAATCAAAGTATCGGCATGGATGATTCCCATCGCCCGAAATTGCACTTGGACCTTCATTTGAGAGACATTCCTGTGGCAACACTTCACATCTCCAGTTGCACAACATTTCACTTCAGTTTGTTTATTCGCACGACGGAACAGCCTCTGGAACAC